GGGCTGGCTGGCATGTGGTGCTGGGGGATTGAACCACGGTCCCTGTGCTTTGCTAAACTTGTTCTAAGTAGGTGCTTTAGACCACTGAGCCATCTCACCAGCCCCTTCATTGGTTATTCTTGATGCTTCTTTTCTACAATGTTTTTTTTCTACAAAAATGTTTAATTTAGTTCAAAAAATTGTAATTTCCTATTTTTACACATAGGTCACATTAATAAACAGTGCTTTCATGCACTAGTGTAATGTAAATTTATAATATGAAAGTCATATACATATGCTTGTAATGGATCAAATTTTAATTTAAAACAAGAATTCAATATATTTCTACTTGAAAGCTAAAAATTAAAAATACATTCTGGTGGAACATCTGCTGTATTATGGAAATTACTAAACTATGTATGCTTCCTTTAACATACATATATGGGGATTTTACCTTAAATATAATTATTTAGACTGTCAACAAATTAAGTTATTCATTTTATAAAGAGTGAATAATAACTAAATTATGAATTATTTTAATAGCAAAGCAATGCAAATAATTGGGGCATTATTATTATATCAACTACTAAACTCCATATAATAACCACAGAATTAAAATTAATTTAATTGCTATTTTGGAAAGTTACTCTGCCTCTATTTCTTTTTTTTTTCTGATTGATTGATTGATTGATTGATTGATTGATTGGATATAGGGACTTGTTACGCAATTAAGACTCATAGTAGTCCTCCTGTCTCAGCCTCCACAGTGCTGGGGTAACACGTGTGCACCACCATGCCTTGGGCCAGCACAGGGTGCCCAGGACTCCAGGCCATATGGTACTAGGGATCAAACTCCGGTCTTTACACTTGTCAGACAGGTGTTTAGACCACTGATATATTTTCCCAGCCATGGAATTTTTTTAGTGGAAAGCATTACACTGAGTTTTTGTCATGCAATGCTGTTTTTCTAAGGCTATTCTGATTTTAATAAAAATTATTTGGCTAGCAAGGAAAGCATAACAATGCTCTCAAACAGGGATGTCGATGGGTAACTACATGTGACCACTGCTTCTTAGATGGATGAGACTCAGGACAAATCCCAAGTTACAATACACTGTATTATGTAATGCTCAAAGGGGATAACAAACTATAGTTTCTTTATGTTTTTACTGAGAAAATATTATATAAACTTTCTTCCATGGGTTACTAGATTCACATCTCTCCAGAAAATATATCTGTCCTATATGTTGATAACTTTAAGTTTTAACCAATTATTTGTTAGTATTGCCAGTCTTCATTTATGGCTTTTGAAATATAAAGTACTTAATATTTGAATAGTATTCATTATTCACTAATTTCTGACAATTCATGAGAAAAAGTTGTAAATAACAGCTTGAAAAATTGTAGAGCCTTAAAAATATCATTTTTGGGGCCCAGCACATAGCTCAGTGGTACTTGACAAATGCAAGGTCCTAAGTTGAATCCCTGGTACAAAACAAAAGACTCTTTTTAAAAAAATTGTTCAATAAAATAGATTCAGGTAAAATGAAAGAAAAAAATAACTCACTTAAAAACTCTATACAAAATCTCCTTCACAAAATGAATCTACCATCTCACTTCTTTGTTAATATTCATAAATGAGGTCCTAAAAATCTTCTACTGAGGTTCAGCTACATTAGCAAGTAATTTTTCCATTTTCAAAATAACCCTTCAAAGAATCCACTTTGTAAGTTCTGGATTTTGAAAAATTATAATTATGATATTAATATTCTCCTTAAAAATATCTCAGCCATTTCACAGCATAGAGTTAAAATATGCATTTAGGGATTTACATGAACTCATATGTTTCTAAATTCAACAGTTGACGGGCTGGCCAAATAATTCAGTGAATTAAAGCATCTGTTTAGGCAGATGCAGGGACCAGGAGTTGTATCCCCAGACCTGCCATGCTGGCCCCATCCTTTGACGCACTGAGACAGCAATTCACACTGTGCCTGGTGGCACACACCTTTAATCCCAGTACTTGGGAGGCTGTAAACAGGTGGATCATCATGAGTCTGATCTATTAGTGAGACCCTGTAGACCGTGTCCTAAATTAAAAAATATATATATTGATTAATCAATTAAAATAACTCTATATTTAATGTTACATATGATTAATATAAAAGCTAAAAGATTTTAAGTTCAAAGCCTAAATAAGAGACAAGCAAATCAATTGATCTCACATAATCCTAATAATGAAATTTTCCAACTGGTAAACCACAAAACC